CAGTCTCCTTTAGGCCAGTAAATCTGGTCTTTTTTTTGTGAGTTAGAATTATGCTCTACATCCTTCTCCAGCTCTGTCCAGAACCCTCTGTTATGATCCTGGTCAGAGCAGTCAGTGGTGGTAGCTGGGAATTTGATTTCTTGACTGCTGTTTCCATGGGCATTGGTTGTGGATCCAAGTAAAATGAAATCGTTGACAACTTCATTATTTCCTCTGTTTATCATGATGTTGCTTACTGGTCCAGTTGTGAAGATTTTTGTTTTCTTGATATTGAGGTGTAATCCATACTGAAGGCTGTAGTCTTTGATCCTCATAAGTGTGTCAAGTCCTCTTCACTTTCAGCCAGGAAGGTTGTGTCATCTGCATATCACAGGTTGTTACTGAGTCTTCCTCCAATCCCGATGCCCCATTCTTCTTCCTACAGTTCACCTTCTTGGATTATTTGCTCAGCATACAGATTGAGTAAGTATGGAGAAAGGATACAACCCTGATGCACACCTTTCCTGATTTTAAACCACACAGTATCCCTTGTTCTGTTCAAACAACTCCCCCTTGGTCCATGTACAGGTTCCTCATGAGCACAATATAAGTGTTCTGAATTCCCATTCTTTATAATGTTATCCATAATTTATGATCCACACAGTCAAATGCCTTTGCATAGTCAATAAAACACAGGTGGACATCCTTCTGCTATTCTCTGCTTTCAGCCAAGATCCATCTGACATCAGCAATGATATCCCTCATTCCACATCCTCTTCTGAATCCGGCTTTAATTTCTGGCAGTTCCCTGTTGATGTACTGCTGCAACCGCTTTTTAATGATCCTCAGCAAAATTTTACTTGTGTGTTATATTAATGATATTGTTCGATAATTTCCACACTCTGTTGAATCACCTTTCTTCGGAATGGGCAAAAATATGGATCTCTTCCAGTCAGTTGGCCAGGTAGGTATATTCCAAATTTTTTGGCATAGGTGAGTGAGCACTTCCAGCGCTGCTTCCGTTTGTTGAAACATCTCAATTGGTATTTTGTCAATTCCTGGAGACTTGTTTTTCCCCAATGCCTTCGGTGCAGCTTGGACTTCTTCCTTCAGTACCATCAGTTCTTAATCATATGCTACCTCCTGAAGTGGCTGAACATCAACTAATTCTTTTCGGTTCAGTGACTCTGTATATTCCTTCCATCTTCTTTTGATGCTTGCTGCATCGTTTAGTATTTTCCCCATAGAATCCTTCAATATTGCAGCTCGAGGCTTGAATTTTTTCTTCAGTTCTTTCAGCTTGAGAAATGCTGAGCATTTTCTTCCCTTTTGGTTTTCTAACTCCTGATTTTTGCACATTTCATTATAATACTTTGTCTTCTCGAGCAGCCCTTTGAAATCTTCTGTACGGCTCTTTTACTTCATCATTTCTTCCATTTGCTTTAGCTACTCGATGTTCAAGAGCAAGTTTCAGAGTCTCTTCTGACATCCATTTTGGCTTTTTCTTTCTTTCTTGTCTTTTTAATGACCTCTTGCTTTCTTCATGTATGATGTCCTTGATGTCATTCTACAGCTCGTCTGGTCTTCGGTCATTGGTGTTCAGTGTGTCAAATCTATTCTTGAGATGGTCTCTAAATTCGGGTGGGATATACTCAAAGTCATTCTTTGGCTCTCATGGACTTGTTCAGCCTCAATTTGAACTTGCATATGAGCAATTGATGGGTTTGTTCCACAGTCAGCCCCTGGCCTTGTACTGACTGATGATATTGAACTTTTCCATCGTCTCTTTCCACAGATGTAGTTGATTTGATTCCTGTGTATTACATCTGGTGAGGTCCATGTGTATGGTCGCTGTTTATATTGTTGAAAAAAGGTATTTGCAATGAAAAGTCATTGGTCTTGCGAAATTCTATCATGCGATCTCCGGTGTCATTTTTATCACCAAGTCCATATTTTCCAACTACTCTTCCTTCTTCATTTCCAACTTTCTCATTCCAATCACCAGTAATTATCAATGCAACTTGGTTGCATGTTTGATCAATTTCAGGCTGCAGACGTTGGTAAAAATCTTCAATTTCTTCATCTTTGGCCTAAGTGGTTGGTGCGTAAATTTGAATAATAGGTTGTATTAACTGGTTTTTCTTGTAAAAAAAAAAATACCTGTTGCCGACACGTCGATTCTGACTCATAGCGACCCTTTAGGACAGAGCAGAACTGCCCTATACAGTTTCCAAGGAGCGCCTGGTGAATTCAAACTGCCGGCCTTTTGATTAGCAGCTGTTGCTCTTAACCACTATGCCACTAGGGTCTCCATCTTCCTTGTAGACATATAGATATTATACTATCACTGACAGTGTTCTACTTCAGGATAGATCTTGAAATGTTCTTTTTTACGATGAATGTGACACCATTCCTCTTTGTCATCCCTGGCATAGTAGACCATAGATTATCCAATTCAAAATGGTCAATACCAGTCCATTTCAGCTCACTAACACCTAGAATATTGATCTTTATGCATTCCATTTCATTTTTGACAACTTCCAATTTTCCTAGATTCATACTTCGTACATTCCATGTTCTGACTACTAATGGATGTTGGCAGCTCTTCTCATTTTAGTTGTGCCACATTAGCAAATGCAGGTCTTGAAAGCTCTACTTATCCACATCATTAAGTTCTACTCTACTGTGAGGAGGCAGCTCTTCCCCAGTCGTATTTTGAGTGCCTTCCAATCTGAGAGGCTCATCTTCTGACACTATATCAGACAATGTTCCCCTGCTAATTTTTGCCGAAGTAGACTGCAGTTCCTTCTTCCTAGTCTGCCTTAGTCTAGAATCTCAGCTGAAACCTGTCCACCATGGGTTACTCTGATGGTATTTGAAACACCGGTGGCATAGCTTCCAGCATCACAGCAACACACAAGCCTCTGCAGTATGGCAAACTGACAGACGCATGGGGAGCATTTTACTAGGTGCTGGGTATACCCCCAGTTAAT